TGCAGTGTAGCTGCAAAACTTTGCGTTTTAATTGCTTAGGAACTTTTATGAAAACCAAATATTATTGATACAGTAGAAAACCGAAAAATTCGACACGCGCCAATCGATTTTACTCTCAATCTGTACATAAAACATAACGTCGGACATAGTGCGCTGTATTTGTACAATGATACGCCATGATGCACACCATGTCCAACGCTTTGTTGTTGTACAGAACGAGAGTAAAATCGAAAGTCGGGTGTGGGGTTTTCCGGTGTCAAACGCGACCGACAATAACAACGAACTACAACAGACTACAACTACCAATCGATATTTCAAGAGAGTCACTCACACATTTGCTTTGTTTATCAATTTGACAACCGTTCGAACAGAGTAAAGCTTGCTGCAATGCGTCTTGGATAGTGTCTGAAGCTGACTGCTATTCGACTTCGCCAGACCCAAGTTAAGACTAGGGTTCTGATGCATGGTCATTATCGGTGTCATTCCTTAATTTTGTTGCTAAGGAATCCAATTTCGCCTGACAAAGGGAGGGTGTTTCAACTAAAATATAAATAGCGGTACATTTCAATTAGTGTCGGATCCTTGCTATAAATGCAAGAATGACAACTGTAAAAAAAATTGAATACTTCATCATTTTTCAATAGTGATATACTTCAATAGGTAAAATTACTGGTCGCAGTGGTGTTAGCTCCCGAACAGAGGATAAAAAGCTCTTGAATCTCTGACTACTTCTGTAGCACTCTATACCAAAATGCGAGGTTAAATTCTATTCAATAATAGACGACGATCTTCAGCTCTTGATTCGTCTTAAAAATGTCCGTAGGAGGCAATATCAAAGAACACGCGATCCTGCCATGAAAGTTATCTGGCGGGATTTGCAAAACAAGTTTAAAAGCGATTCTCCACCCTGAGGAACAAAACTTTTGAAAATAATGTGTCTAAATTAGACCCGAGTTCCAAACCCTTTTGGAAACTCACAAAGATTTTGAAAAAAACCTCAAAAGCCTATTCCAGCGGTTAACTGTTGATCACACATTTTGAAAAAGCTCAGAAACTTGCTAAGCAATTCGAGAGTTCCCATAATTTCAGTTTGGGTCTTATTAGTCCTATTGAGAATCAGGTTGCTCGGGATTATCTGAATATTTTCTCTCGGGAAAATATTTTTGATGATTCCTGGGGGACTGATTTGGACGAAGTTAGATCTATAACTAAAAAGTTTCATAATGTGAAAGCTCCAGGTGATGATGGAATTTTCTTTATCCTCATCAAAAAACTCCCAGAGAGTACCTAATTTTTCTTGAAATGTTTCCATTTGGCATACTTTCCTGATAAATGGAAAAATGCAAAATTGTTCCAATTTTAAAGCCGGATAAAAATCCAGCAGAAGCTTATAGCTACCGTCCAATAAGTTTACTTTTTTCAATAAGTAAACTTTTTTTAAAGATAATTTTAAATAAAATGATGCTTCTCATCAATACGAACTCAATTTTGGCAGATGAGCAGTTTGGATTTCGCCATGGGCAGTGTTGAGTTGACTCTTAAGAGTTACCAATTTAATTCGTTCAAATAAATCTAAAGGCTACACAACTGGAGTTGCTCTTCTAGACATAAAAAAAGCATTCGACAGTGTTTGGCATGAAGGTTTGAAAAAGTTTAATTTTCCACTCTATTTTATGAAATTAGTTCAAAATTATTTAACTGACAGAACTCTACAGGTAAATTATCAAAATTCCAAATCTGAACGACTACCTGTTAGAGCAGGAGTTTCTCAAGGTAGCATTCTTGGGCCTATATTGTATAACATTTTCTCTTCGGACCTCCCTGATTTGCCTCAGAGTTGCCACAAATCTTTGTTCGCTGATGACACAGGCATTTCCGCTAAAGGAAGAAGTCTTCGTGTTATTTACAGCAGACTGCAGAAAAGTTAAGATATTTTCTCTTCTTATTTACAAAAATAGATGATTTCTCCCATCGCTTCCAAAACTCAACTTATAATATTTCCACATAAGCCTAGAGCTTCCTTTTTGAAACCTAGTAGTAGTCACATAGTCACTTTGAATGGAGTTCGAATTTCCTGGCCAAACCAAGTGAAATATATTGCATTAGTACTTGACCAAAAATTAACTTTTAAAGATCACATTGAGGGCATTCAAGCCAAATGTAACATATAGGGGAAAATGGCTCTAATGTTGGCCTATGGATCTAAGATTGGGCCCATCGCTAACAATCTGCTATTTATCAATTTTATCTAGATGGACGCGTCATTGAGACGGTACTAATGGATATTTTTGGGTGCTATTGAAAATTTAGTAGATTGCTGAATTTAAGTATGGGCCCAAATTAGGGACATTTAGGCCATCATTACATTCATTTCCCCTATATAAAATGTTTGTATCCTCTTATAAACAGGAAATCCAAACTTTGCCTCACGAATAAACTTCTGATATTTAAACAAGTTTATGCTATGCTTTACGCTGTGCCAATATGGTCTACTTGTTGCACTACCTGATAAAAGCACTTCAAAGGATTCAGAACAAGGTTCTGAAGATGATTTTGAAGTTGCCTCCCTGGTACAGTTCTACCGAAGTACATAAAATTTCGTATGTTGTGACTTTAGAACAAATGTCCAACAAAATAATTAATAATTTCAGGCAAAAATCGTTGCAATCCTCAATTGTATACTTCTATAAGATTTAGTGTTAGTTTTTAGATTTAAGATGTCAATTGTTATACTGACATGCAGGTTTAAAAAAAACCTGTTTAAAATACTGAATTGCCAAGGCAGGATCAATATAAAACCAAGGTTGTAAATACTCATTTCAGCTAAAATAATGTTTTTCGGAATAATAAAACCAAAAGATGGTATGATGACATGTTTTACTTGTAATTTACAAGAAAAGGTTACAAAGTATGCGTTTGAAACATAAAACCTGTAAATTTTGCTTTCTATGAGTCACAATCAGCGATTTTCTGATCGCTGAGTGAGTGAGTGAGTGAGTGAGTGAGTGTGTGAAAAATCGCTGATTGTGACTCTCATGAAGTGAAATAAACAGGTTTAATATGTCAAACACATTCTTTGTAACCTCTTCTTGTATGCTACCAATTCAAAATATGATCATAGCATCTAATTATTTCATAATTAAAAAAACATTGTTTTAGCTGAAATGAGTTTTTGCAACCTTGTATAAAACCACTTAGATATATCATAACAATTAAGGCTGGTAAGTAGCTGGAGTACCTAGGTTAAAATAAAATTTAATTAATTTTGAATTTGAAACAAATAAAAATTAAAAAAAAAAATAAAAACCAATATGGGACGAAATGCCTATGAAAGCCGTGAGACACATTTGAGAAACGTCTGAATTTGATCAAACAGGTTGAAGGTAGGGTAATTCCAAAACATATGCTGTAATTGATCAATATTGCCTTTCAGTAAATACAATAAATAATCAAATATGAATTACTGATGCGATAAAAAATACTGTTTTTTTAATTTGTATGAGAATGTATATGACACAGGGTATATAAAAAAATTCTCGAAATTTGAGATGACCAATTTTCCCATAAACTCGTGAAATGATCTACAAATTTTCAAATTGTATAACGTTGTTCTTTAGAATGTGAATACGAACTATTTTAAAATAATACCTGCGGGGCCTACTTGTAGGATTTTTGTTTTGTTTTGTTGTCGTGAGATGCGCATTCGTTGAGTAGGGAGAATCCTCTCATAACATTTGAAAAGGGCCTATGATTAAAATGTAAACCAAAAAATTAATAGGTAAGGAAATTGAAGATTTTTGGCAGTGGCGTCCCGTAACCTCACTTTTTACCTGTGCACCAACTTTCAAAACCAGATTTAATGCCATATTCATACTCGAATCGGTTGAAAAATACACTTAATCTTCTAGTTTACTCGAAAGCAATATTTTGATAATTGTTTATTTTTTGAGCGTTGGTAGCACAGGTAGATTGAGGTTAAGGAAACGCCACTGACTTTAGGCATTTTATATTGTTTAGAATAACAATAATAACTGTACAAACATCCAAATTATGCGAAAAGTGTTCAAAAATACATGGAAATCGACAACAATTTAATTTCATAAATTAATAAGTCTTTTTTTTTTAGTATCTTTCAATGGTTAGGCCCTATTTTTTAAATCGTTGAGTTTGTCATCAGAAATGGTAGGCCATTTGGTAATCCATTTCATAACGTCAAATAAATAAAAAACCATCGGCCCTGCCTCAACCACGAAGCAGCAGTAGGTCCTAGCTTTGATAAGAAAAATTTAAATCTTCGGCCCTTCTACGTCACAAGACTTATCAATGGAACCTAATGGAAGGACAAAATATATGTTAGGCTGTTTTAGCGCGTCGACCAATGATGCTGAACATTCCTATACGATTGGTTGCTATTTAATGGTGCTATAGAATGGTGTCAAAAATCGATTTGTCTACATTTTTGTCATAGGCTCTTTTCAAATGTTACGCGAGAATACAGGCCTCTGCAATAATTTTACCTTTGATCGTCAGGGGGAAATGAAGTCCTTGAGCACTCTTTATTTCCATGAAGATGCACCATGATCAGTGCATCGTTTGACCAAAACTCAACTCTTAAGAACCTTAAGAACCCCCTAACAACAATAGGAATTTACCCTAGGTGGAAATAAGATTCATAAAAATATGCAGATTCCCTTCAAAAAATAGAGTGCGATGCGGGTGGATGGATATCGATGTAGGAAATGAAAGAAGATTTTTCGTTGATGGTTTTGCTTGCGTGAGATTTTCCGAGCGTTTCATGATTGAGATTTAAGCTCAAGCAGCATACACACTAAGATTTTTTTTACAGGAGTCAGTATTTTTTTACTGGGTTTTTGAATTGCTGAAAAAGTCGATCAATTTTATTTTCTATCATTAAATGGGGCTAACTCGGTGAAACCGTACTGACTCGATTAGTGTGTAGTCATTTACTGATAAACATAAATTTCTATTTCAAATTCCAGTTCCCACCACGCCTCATCTTTTAAATGGCAGCACCGAATGCTGATGTCATGCGTGGCAGTGGACCTTCTGCTGTTGCTCCTGGCTCAGCAATTCAGCAAATCACGCATCATCAGTTGCCATCTAATATACCACATCAACAGCAGCAACATTCAATCCCACCGAACCATCACATCCAGCAACTGCAGAATCTAACGCAACAAACGGTGACAATAGCAGCGCATCACCATGTACCGAACAACCAAAATGCAGTTGTGCACCATCACCATCGAGTGCAGCAGCACCATCCTCAGCAGCTGGTTCAACAGCCGGCGCACCCTTCCATGCAGCACAAGATTGCCCAGTACAGTGGAAATATTAGCAATTTGATGTTTCCTTCTTCCGAAAATCTTTCCGGGGCAAGTAGCGACACAAGTGCCAGTGCAAGTGATATGAGCAATGCCTCGGTTGTAAATATAGCTAGTGTGAATCAGTCAATGAGTATCCCTACGAAAGAGAGTGTAGCGTCCTTAGCAAATAGCAGTAATAACAATCCTGTTCTGAACAGGATTACCACAAATGTTGTTGGTAACATTCCAGCGGAAAACGTACAAGTTATTCAGCAGCCGGGTGACACTATGTCGCCGAAAGCCGGCAGCTCTGTGGCACGGAATAATGTTGCACCCGGTTGGCGAAGGATAAAATATAATTGTGAGATTATCTACATAAGGTAAGTGAACTGATTGTTTCTTTTAACATTTCTTTACTTTTCCCTCTGATCTGGAAAAGTGAAAGCAGCAGGAGATGTTCGTTAATGTTGTTTCAAGTCATAAATTATAGACGGCTGGCAATAGAACGGAGCACGCACACTGTTTAGAAATTAGTTTATGTGTAATCATGGTTCTGAAAGAACCTGAAGATGCGTGCAAAAAGTCATGATTATCACCCGTATTGGTTCTTCTTCGATCCAAAAAATTCGTTCCAGTTGATCGTGCATGGTAAAGGATCTAAGCTGGGAACATAAAAGAATGTGTGGGCACCGACATTTTCTGCTTGTACGAACCCGAGAAATAGACAATGGCATTTTTTCTGGATTGAAAGGAATCGTTTGTTCCGCCAGCAGGGAGGTAAATCGGGGCTGAACAGAAAGTTAAAAGGATACAAAAAGTTGATTCTTAAAGCTCAGCTTGTGTTCTACTCATTTTCTTTTGAATATGGTTGCGTCATAGCGCGCACAGCAAAAGGCAACATTTGTTTAACACTGAAATGTAAATTGATAGTGCTTCATTCAACAGAGTTAGCTAGTTAGTTTTCTTTATTAAAGAGACTTTAAGCCTCGGGTTGGTTCACCTCTTCAACAGAGTTATTGATTATTTTGGATTAATATTATATGTATTGAGTGCCTAAACTACGTAGACAATATCTGAAAGACCTTAGACTTCATCTCTCCTGCGTAAATAATCGCACTCCGCAACCCTTCCTCCTCCAAAATATTTACGCCGTTTATGGATAGCTCCAAATACAATTATGCCGAAGAAAATAGAAAAAAATATCAACTTATGATTTTTTTTTAAAACTCGGCAGCTTCTTTTATGCTTAAAAGGAAAGAAAATACTTTAAATATTTTATGATTTCATGACCTATATGCCTGTAATGGTGCCAAATGCGGGAACAACATTGAGTGGGAGGTCGTTGAATATTTACACTGTTCATTCATTATAAGATTGTTAACAGGCCAACGAATCGGAAAAACCGGGAAGTAACTGGGAATTTGAAAAGTAGCCGGGCAAACCGAAAAAAAAAGGGAATTTAACAAGAAATCCGGGAAAAACGAATAAAATTGAACATACTTCAATTTACATTTAAAGTAAGCAAACATATTCTTCTTCAGCTAAAATTTTTTTTTATTTAGCTCTCCATAACATTAAAATTATAGGTTGTATTTGTTTTTATCATCAATCTGGAAGTAATATATATATATTGGCACATTGTGAAATTCCGAACTGCTATTTTGTCATGAATTTAAAAAAAAAATCAATATTAAATATTCAGAAATTTAAGATCCTTATAATGATATGTTATGTAACTTCCACTCACTGTTCGACTTGATCAAGTTTAATAATCTCTAACTGTACTCAACCTGTCATTGTACGAAGGGCCAAAATCGGTTTGGGTGAATCCGTGGGCAACATCGCCCGCACTGCAATATCCATGGGATAAATGAGAATCTCCTTACAACAACAGTATCATACAACCGGTAAAAAACAGGCCATTTAATGAATGAGTGGGGAGAAGAACACATCCTTTATTCACGAAATGTTAAAGGTAGGGAGTTGGCATTTCCACTCTCCCCATCAATATCCCTTAAATCGGGTAGTTATTTTAATAATGGAATGAAAGTTTAAAGAAAAAAAGGAAATATGTCACCCGATATGTTTCAAAGGAATCCACTACATCACTATGATTGTGAAAAGCTCCTATAGATATGCTGAAGTTACTTTTTCGACCGGTGTTAAAAACAGCACTCTCGCCTTTCCTTCCTCACATAGCAACCAACGGAAACCCCAACAACCACGAAACACATTCTAGCTGCTCCGACTAGAGGGATCTCAGCAGAGAAAAAGGAAAGAATTGCGACTACTTTCCATCACCAATCACTCGTGACACAACGGCTTCAGTTCATCAGTATACAGTCTGGAAGATGCAGTGCCAGTCCCTCATCGGCCCACATTTGTGACGAAACTATTAACTGTAGCATGTTGATGTCTTGTAGAATGTTCCTTAAATTTTTGAGTGGTTTAAATTTTTGCAATACTTTAAAATAAAAAAAAAAACTTTTTTATGTCTTTTTAAAACCGTTGAGCATCTATGGAAACATTGTCGATGACATAATTTTAAGAAACTTTGTCGAAAACAACAATCTTCTATCTCTCAACTAGACGAAGTTTGGGAGAGATAGAAAATTGTCATGTTCCACAAAATTTCTTAAAAATGACTTCATCTTCAATGTTTCCATAGATGTTCATTAGACTGGCCCACAAAAATAAAAGTTCTAATTTTCCACGGGCCAACCTCTAGATTTGTGCCTTTAGGTGAGAAAACCATTCTCTGAAAGATTTAGCTCATTTGTTTGTAGGATGAGCTGGCGCTTTTAGTTTGAATTTTGTATGGGGATTTTGGTTAAAATACATGAAAAAATGACACTCCTCCACTTTATCGATCATAAAAAAGTTTCCTTACTCTCGATTTGATGTAGTTCAAACAAAGAGTAACAACTTTGCTGAAGACTGCATTATGAATTCGGTTAGTTTCATTGAGATATTCGCTTTTGAATGTATATGAGGATTTTGTATATATAAATTTCAACCAAATCCCCTATATAAACATTAAACCAAAAACACCAGTCCGAGTTACGTCAACAACATCTGAAACCTTCAGAGAGTGGTTATCTCACCTACTGAAATAAGTCTGGTTGTTGGCCTGTGGTAAATATGAACTTTTATTTTATAGTGGTAATCTAGTTGATACATTGCATAACCTGCCTGTATTTTGTTGCAATATACGAACAAAATGCGCATATAAATTCATGAAAGAATATCTCCATAATACTAACTTGAATCATGATGCTGTATTCAGCTAAGTTATTTCTTATAGATTAAGCTACATGTGAAATTCTGAGCTCAAAAGAGTTTGCTGAACCAGTTTTATGCACGAAAGAGTGAAGGGATGAGAGTTGATTTTGATTTTTTTTTTTCCTTTGGTTTGTTTTTTCCGTCGATCTTGTTTTCCGTGCTGAGCACCAATGCTACCGACGTGCCAGGAAGGCAGCTCCTACACCTGGACCCTACCTATCGACCCATCAACTCATGAACCGGGGACCAACGGCTTTACTTCCCATCCGAAGGAAGGCGTGATCAGAAATGTTATGCCTCAGAACATCCCGGTGGCGCCGACTGGGATTGAACCCAGGCCTGCTGGGGTGAGAGGTAATCACGCTTACCACTACACCACCGGCGCCGTTGAGTTGATTTTGATGATTCATACACATTTAGATTTTTTTTTGCCGAGATGGGCACCACCGAGCAGCTCGTCAATCTATTTTGCTGGATCTCAGTGAAAATTTTGCCGAGATTCAGTTAACAAACGGCTAACAAAAATAAATTTTACTGAGATTTCAGTAAAAATAAATGCCGAGCCTGCTCGGTGGTGCCAATTTCGGCAAAAAATCTAAGTGTGTACATTTCAACCAATATCCCCATATAAACTTTAAGTCAAAAGCGCCAGCTCGTGTTACATCCGAATGAGCTGAAATTTTCAGAGAGTAGTTTTCTCACCTAATGGCACAAATCTGGAGGTTGGCCCGTTGAAAAAAATGATAAAAATTTTCTCCCAGATAAATGTGGGCCAGTCTAATGTTCATCATGGTATGGTTGAACATAAAAAACTAATTTGTTTTATCAGAGTGTATCTCCCTTAATCAAAAATGTTCACCACTCAAATAAAGTACAATTTTTTTTTCTAAGGCCAGTACTGAATATTTTGTTGCAATTAAAAAGTAGTCCATTCTATTAGATATGTTTGTAAGATTTCAGAGAAAATATGAAAGGAGAAATCGTACTATTTTAACTTGCTAAAACGATAAAAATTTAAAATCCAAACACATGTTTTCCCGTCACACTTCACAATGTGGCACTAGATCAGTCAAATCTTAAAAAATGAGAAACTGTAAATAGTGGGATTTAGGTGCGGTGCAAGAGTAAAGGGTGAAGAGTTAAGGTGATTTTTAAGTTTTTCGTTCTAACGTATATCTATTTGTCGTTTTTAAGTCATTTTGGAGTTTAAAGTCTGGTTGGGCGTTTCTATGGCATTTTTTTACCTTTTTTTTTGCGATTTCAAAGTGATTTACGCCTTTTCGGTATTTTTATGCTGAGCTATTTTTCGCATTTTGAAGTTTCAGGTTAATCTTTGCATGGTTAGGATCAAATCCATTTTGGCGCTATTTAAACTATGCTAAAATTGTCATGACGGTTTTTAAGCTGTTATGGCGTTTTAAAATACTTTTGGCTTTGTAAGACGTTTTAAGATTGGTTTTGCGTTTGTTTCAACCAGTTAAGAATGTTCAATATTATTTTGGATCCTTGGGTTTTTAAAGTCTTAGCGATTTTAGCGTTTCAATGTTAGTTTTGAAGTTTATAAGCCGTATACAATACTCAGGTTTTACAGAATTGTCGTGAATACAACGAGCGTATTGATTCCAAATCAGCATTATGACACAATCGATCGAGACTAGCTGTGGTAGATTATGCACGAATACGGATTTCCGGTTACACTGAGGCGTCAAGGCGATCGAGTGATGTGCGTTGTCCGAGTATCAGGGAAACTTGCTCCTTCAGTTACTTCAAGCTGTTTGCTGTTAATCCTCACTTTGGAAGGTGTGATCAGAAAAGTTGAGATTAACACTAATGGTACGATCTTCAAGAAGTCCGTGCAGCTCCTTGGCTTTGCCGATGACATCGACATCATCGAACGTTGAGACGGCGATGGTGGACCGGTCTGACTTGTCAATAACGCAAGTAAGGCCTCCCACCACGAGTTCAGATTAACGGCGATGAAATCGAGCTGATCGACGAGTTCGTGTGACTGCCGATAATGACACCAGCAGACAATCGAGCTTACTTTGATCTGCGATGGACGCTCCGGTCGAAATAAGTTCGCCGTCGCTCAAAGTTC